GGGGGGGGGGGGGCAGGATTAGTAAAGAATCGGATACGAAAAGTTGTACGCATACAATCTGATTCAACATACCAATACGTGATTCAGAAAATGGAATATCATTTGGATATGAATAACGAGCTGAAATTGTTAATGGTTCTTTTTTATAAAATGAAAGCATTTTAGTTGATGGTATAACATTCCAACGACTAAATACTTCAATTTCATTATCTTCATTAATTCCACCATGCCATGATAATGTTATTGGATATGGTTGACAATCTTCAATTTTAAATTCTTTTACTATAAATGTTGGACTTAATATAGCACACATTAATGTACAACCACGTACAACACTTTCATCAGCATTCATTGTTGTCATTGGACATTTACGAAATGTATTTTGAATGATTTGTTTAACAGCTGGAATACGTGTTGAACCACCGACAATTTCAACAGATTCAAGATCATCAGTTGTGATTCCTAATAAACAAAGAGAATTTAGAAATTCTGACCATCTTGTGAAAACATTAAAATTTTTCTAAGGTTAAATAATGTTTTGAAATAGTTCGTGATTTTTCTTTATAAAATTAGTTTGGAATGTAGTTTTATCATATATATATATATAAATATGTGACATGAGATTTAACTCTATTATTCGAGTTGTTAGAATGAATTCAAATTGACTAGAAAGAATTTCGTTGATTTCATAGCAATATTTTATTCAAATTTTCACTTCCGGAGGTGTGATTGCTTATTTTTAGAAGTACAGATGCATACTACATCGTACAATAACTTCAAACTTCGAGAGGATTAATCCAATCTGCGAAAAGGCACGATTTCCTCGATTCTCACACGCTGGATAGAGAACACAGTCGAATAATGAACTATCCGTGAGATTTATTAATAAATTATAATATTCTGAAGCCACTGTTGTTGATAGTTTATCAATAATTTTTTCGGTTTATTTATAATTTTATACTCTTCAATTGGGTAATTTGAAAAGAATTTCGAAAATTTTTCTTAAACTTTATATTTGATTTCTATGTACTCGAAAACAAAAATTTCATTCTTATGATTTTCAGCATTATTCTAGATCTTTAGTTTGTATAAATTTTATTACTAATTCGAAATTACTAAATGCTTAAGGCATAACAAAAATAGCGATCAAGATATTTCAATACCCTATAGAAAGTTTAAGGAAAATTTTCTGTCTATATACATTGATAGTTAATATAGTGTTCAATATTTTATTATTCTTCAACTATTATAATAAGAATGAAAATTTTGATAAGATCTCCTTGTCATAATAAGTGATGACACAATAAGGTTATATTGTCTTCGCTGTCTATCCATCTCTTTATCTTATCTTGTTTCTTCTGTCTATCTTTTTGTCTCGCATTCTCTAATATATAGTCGTCTATATATGTTATCAGTATACAAAAAGTAGTAGTGGTGAAACAAAAAGGAAATACAGAATTAAATTCATCAAGTTTTTAATCTATAGATTTAAAAAAATTGTTGAACTCGAAAGAGAGCAACTGATAAGGTTTCCTCGTAAGCCTTAGAAAAGACGAGAAGATAAAGGCAAACATAAAATTAAGACGAGAATACACACCGTAAACAATATGATCTAATGTTATCGTCATATATTACAACATCTAGTTCCTATCAAAATTTCATTATTATGACATTGGTTAAAGAGCGATGAAATATTGAGAACTATTTTTACTATAGGTACATATAGAAAAAAACATTGGCTTAAACTTTCAATAGAGTACTTAAGTGTCTCCATTACTACTTTGTATATGTCCTAAGTAATTGTTTTCTTTAAATAAGTAAACTTACCAGCTTCTTTAAGAAGATTTGCAAGTGTATTTCGTACTCGATCAAGTAATGGTTTGGCTAATTCTTCAAAATCAGCTCTTGATATTTTACCACTAACATCTTTTTCATCAATAAAACATTCAAGTGAAATTGGAATTGGTTGAACATTACTAGACATTAATTTTTTAGCTTTTTCACATTCAGCACGTAATCTTAATTTAGCTTTGAGCGTACTATATGAATCAATTTTATAACGTTTTTTAAAATCTTCACGCATTTCATCCATTATAATACGATCAAAATCTCGACCACCTAATGATGGATCAAATGCTGTTGCAATCATCTTTAAACAAAAAATGAAAATATCAATGATTATATAAGATTATCAATCGAAAAATATAACGACATACTTTTAATTTGCCTTTATTCAATGCAACAACAGATGCTTGTAATGTTGTATAACCCATATCAACAAATGCAACAAGACGAGGTTTTTCTGTTTGTTCTGGAAGATCACCTTTGTAAATGCCATAACAAAGAGCAACTAAATTCATAAAAAAAAATATTTTTAAAAATAAAAAAAAAACATATTGATTCTCAAAATATATATAGTTGAAATGTGATTATTACTCTAAGTAGCCATACAATTGGCATGTGTGAATATTAGTAGAAAATTTTCGTTTGTCTTTCAAAACAATACTGTTCAATAAGATAGTTAAAGTCTGTTCAGAATAAGTAATTAAAGCAAGCATTCGAAAATTATATAGCAGTAAACATATAAAATCGAATATAATTATGTCGTTATGAATAGAAATCTTGTTTTTTTTAATGTCCTGAGCAAAAGCTAATGATCTCATGCTTTCTTATACTGTTAAATAAATAATATCTGTAAATGAGCAAGCAAAACATTTTTCATATCGATCGTATTACATCATAATGCAGCTAACGATGAATCGTCATTTATAATCTCTTTGTTTCGAAGAATTTCAAGTTCATCTATATACGTCAGAAATCTAGTACTTGTCATTATATCGATTACATAAAACTCATATTTATCACATTAACGATAATGTGTTTTTTAATGAAAGTTATATTAGAAGAAAGAAAAAAAAAAGAATCTTCACGAAGCATAACGCATAATACAAAGGTGACTATGACTAATACCTTATATTTGTTATAAATATACCCTAGATATTTCAAAATAATCTCACGTACAAGCAAATGAAAATTAAAGAATTCTTTTACAATACGATTGATCTATTTCTTTCTTATTGATTATTTTCAATTAAAATATATATACATTTATATTTGACTTACCAGCTGTTGTTTCATTGAGTAATCGAAGACAATTCCATCCAGCTATTTGTGCAGCATCAAGCATTGCACGTCGTTCAGCATCAGTAAAATAACAAGGTACCTGAAAAATAAAATCTTGTTCTACAATTTATTTTTTTCTATGAAAAAACTTACACCAATAACACAATCAACAGGTTTTGTTGATGATTCTGTATTAGTGATATGTTTTAATTTCGAAAACATAACACCAGCTATTTGTTCAGGTGTAAAACGTGTACGTTCATTAAGATAATTGACCTGAATAAAGAAAAAAATAATAGAAATTTTGTTTATTCTTTTTAAAAGCAGATTTGATCAAATTATTTTTTAATTTACTTCAATATTAACTGAACCACCTTTGCCTTCAACAATAGAATAAGCATTAAGTTCTTTTTCTTGTTGAACACATGTATCGTGATATCGACGTCCTAACAGTCGTTTAAAATTACAAATTGTATTTTTTGCATTAGTTATTTCCATTGCTTTTGATGCTTGACCGATTGCACGAATTGATTTATCAAATGTAACATAAGTTCTAAAAAGAATTTTTATTTTGTAATTTCAGAGAGAGAGGAAAGAAAAAGGAATTAAACTTACGGAGTAAGACGATCAGAATATTCATTTGCAACTATTTCAACACCACCAGCACGGGCAACACCAATATAAGACGAAAAATTGCCCATATCAAGGCCAACAACTGCCTAATTGAATAAATTAAATATTAGAGAAAAAAAATGATTTGAATTTACCATGTTTGTTGTATTGAGACGAGATGACAAGGTGTAAAATGAGATAATCTATAATTGATTTAAATAAGATATTCTAATATCAAGGAGATAGGAATATATAAAGCGAACTATTGATTGACAGATCGGATGTAAAAAAAACGAGAAAGGTAGTGAAAATGGAAGAATTTTCTCGACTATTCGAGAATGAGTATGTATGAGAGTAAATTTGTTCTGTACATGATGGTATTATATGGATTACATTATATTTGGTTTCACAATTTCGATCGGAAGAGTCTGACCTCTGGTGACAATAATATTTTTCTATTCAGGATTCGATTTCTTATTAAGATAAGATAAATTTGAGTTTTCATATTTTTCAATGGTTTTTATCAAAAATTATATCTTTGATGTATAACTCGTATTAAAACAATTTTATTTATGTGCAATACGAGTCAGAATTTTTTTCAGACGATCTGTTAAACTGATAAGGGAACCTATACAAGTGTCAAATTACTTTTTGACCGAAAAAATGTTTACTTGGTGAATGCTAGTGAGTAATAGAAAAGTCTACAGTGGTTTGGTTTTCCTGGCCTTCGTTTTTTAGACATTGAAACTTTACTCAATTTTTCAACAAAACGTTATGGTACTTCACAGATCGGATGAACAATTACGTGATTTTTGAATTTCGATTTCAAACTTTGCACAAACAAAGTTCTTAATAAGATTTGTTCATGGGGTTAAGTTTTAACTTTTCTGATATCTTCTTTTATCGACATTGTAGATATATGAACAAAATTTGCTTTTACATATGAGAGAATTTCGAATATTCAATATCTCAGAATAGGACTAACTAGAAAAGCTAAAAAAATAGTATCATCTTCTAATCTTATTAAGAACTTTGTTTGTGTAAAGTTCGAAATCGAAACTCAATTTTTCTCGTGATTCAATGAGGAGGATTATAGCTTTCTGTTGAAAAGTTCAGTAAAATTTTGATATCTCAAGAGCGAAAGCCTGAAAAATCAAACTATTGCAGTATTTTCTATTACTCACTAGTACTCATCAAATAAACATAGTCTCGGACGAAAAGCTATTCGATACCTGGAGGGGTTTCTTCGGAAGTTATTTTTTTACCTGACTTATTCTAAAAAAGTTGATCCCATATAAATGCAAAGAAAAGAACGCAAGTTACTCTTTGGTAACTAAAACTTTTTAAAAGCAAATTTGCTATAACGTAACGTGTCTATTTTATTACAAACAACACATAAGATTCATGTAAACTCTATTATTTTGCTATTATGTGTTATTTTTCTTTCCAAATATGAGATCCGAAAGAGAGTCGGATATTGCATAAAATGACAGATAATTATAATCTGTGCGAAAGATATTTTCGATTATTGAAGGATCACTTTTTAAAAGATTTGAAGTGTGAGATATTCTTTCAAGTTTCAGTTTTGACAAGAAAAATGATAAAAGTTTTACATAAACATTATGCGTTGTTCGTCGTAAAAAAGGTACATTACATTATAGAGAGTTTGATTTTTATAAGTTTTAGTTAAGAAAAACGTATCTCGTGTTTTTATCTTTCGATTTATATAAGTTCCGTGTTTTTTAGAACAACGCTGATAAAAAATCATGTAGTTTAAAAGATCATTCGAAAAATATTGCCCCCCAAAAAAAAACTGAGTAGCCTCAATTGGTATATGTCCGATTCCACAATAACTCAACATAGAAGTAAAATTTTCCTTGAATATAAGGTACTGAAAAAAGTCTAACGACAATGTACTTTGAATTTTTTTTTCTATAATGTTAAGCATATAGCTCAAATCCAGATAATGATATTAATAATCAGTGGAGCTTTTTATCAATTACATTTTATAGAAAGATATCATAGATAAACTATGATAAGAAAGTTTTCTAAACAATCACACATGGAAGTTTTCAGATTTCATAAGATTCTGTCGAAGTCTTTTTTAACGATGCCATCGTAAAGAGCACAAAATTCTGAGCAATATCAGCGGCTGTTCGATTCTTTTAGGACCTTCTCTTAAAAAGTATCACAAAAATCGAAATTTATCAAAAGAATAGATTAGAAAGGGCGCCTTATTTTGCTTTTTATGACGTTTTTAACTTGTTAACGTAAGCTTGGGGAAAATGTGACGATTCCTGATTTTATTCGTAATTTTGTGCTCTTCAAAATGAAATTCTTAAAAGATAGTCCGCTTTATTAGAAATTTTGTTATCATAGTTCATTTATGAAATCTTACTGTAGAATCTATGAGATAGAAAACTTCATTGACTATCGAAACCATTATCTGCATTTATGCTGATTGCTTAACATTGTAGAACAAAAATAAAAAAAAACATTACTATTAAAAATTTTTCCACTAGTTTAGTATAGATATTGATTCCATTTTGACACAAATCATCCATGAAAAATAAGTTTCATAATAAAGTTATACTATAAACAAATTTGTCTACAAAATTTTGTTCAGTAATATATATATAGAATTATGACATAAGTAATTGCCAAAAAATGAGGTATCTCTGTGCTTGTTATGCCATTGTTCTAAATTAAGAACATCAAACTTGCTGAAAGCATAAAAGATATTTTTATATTCTATTGCCAACTAATTGCTCTTACATGTGTATATGCTGATACAGTTATCATAAACTTTATCAACTGTATTTTCACGACTGACATCTATTCATAATTGTTCACATAAGACTTAACCTTTGATATTAAATAGGAAGTGTCTTAATATAGTATACAAAAGATAATATTAAGAAACCGAGAACACCTATTGATGATCGTAGCATCACAATTCACTCTATTTGATTCAATTTACTAGAATTATGTTTTTCATGTTATAAGCATTTGTTATTTTGACTATAAGATTTATTTTTCAATTTTAATTGACACCATTTGAAAACGAAAACCAACTGTAGAATGATTTGAATGAAAAAGTTTGTTAAATAATCAACTGAATATTTATTAATCAAAGTTCATAAGGTTATAAAAGCAAAATGTGTCATGTGTAATAAGTAAAAAAGAAATATTCTTCATGATCTTCGAAATCTATTTTTCGAAAACAAAAATAAAACCGGAATATAATTACAGGATGTCTCAAAAGTCCCTTCGTAAAAGTTTTTTCGTTTGATTTTACTATTGATTAGACTTCATTGAGTAGTTTTTGTTTTGGATAATAGATCAATACACAGAATTTTTATTTCTAAAGACGAACTTTCAAAGCATTGTTGAAAGCTAACACTTTTAGCTGAAATAATAAAATTTAATCTGTTTTCTCTTTCCAGAAATACTCATATATGAATGTATGTTTTAATCGCTTAAATTTTGATTTGGTATTATTCATTTCGTTTTTGTAAAGACATACCAAAATAAAATTCTATAAAAAGACCGTTCAAGTATTAGACAGTTTAAAGGTTCAAATCACTCAACAAGTCGTAGTTATTGAACAAGAACTGCTATGCAATGGTTTTCTGGAAAAAGAAAACAGGCTAAATTTTAGTATTTTCGCTAAAGGTCTTAGCTTTCAACAATGCTATGAAAGTTCCTCTTTAAAAATAAAAATTCTGTGCATAGATCTATAATCCAAAAAGAATTATTCAATGAAGTCTAATCAATAGAGAAATAAAACGAAAAATATTGTACGGAGGGACTTTCGGGACACCCTGTAGTATTAAAATTATTCTTTTAAATGACGATTAATAAAATCAAGTAAAGCGTTTTGTTCATCGAAAATTTCAACACTTTTCGGAGGATCTGGTGTGTGTTTTGATAAATTTTTTTTATTTCTTGTATAAACTGCAAGAGGTCTTGTTCCAAGGTTAAGATTCTCAAAAAGTTGAACAACATGAGTAAAACTTTTTTGTTCTTGTACATAATACCCTCGACATATAGTGATAAACTTTTCATGTTCTTTTATATCACGTAAATTGTTATTTAAATATTCTTCAGCATCTTTATATGTAGGTTTAAAGATGATTTCTAATGTTGGATGGTCTCGTTGTATTCTATTGGTCGTTTTTGGATCATTTTCAGACAAATCAATCCAAAGTAACATTGGTTTCAATGAGGAAGCTGCTGATGTATCACCAGTTAACGGACTCGACCGCGATGATGCATGTAAAGGCGCTGCAAAAAGATCGAATTTAGGTAGAGTCAGAAAAAATACTTCATTTTAAGTGGATGGATTATCATCTAATGGATATGACCATGTTGGACATACTAGTGATTTATTTTTGTATGAAAAGTGATTTAAAGCAAGTTTTGTTTTATGAGAAAAAAAATTCTTGAAAGAATGGAATAGAATCTGAATCAAAAGACAAAAATCGTTTTATAGAGTCAAAATCAAAATAGAAAATAGATATTGACTAATCGCTTGTGTTATTATTCGTCTTGAAACTATGACGATATGCTGTCGATCATATATATTCCATTTGAAAACTAGTGTGTTTAAATCTCAATACTACATAACTATAGATTAATCTTACTCAAACCAGTCGAATGATTCAACTGGAAATATATCAAGTACTTGTACTATATGCCTATTAGTCCAGTTTGCTGTTGCAATAATTTTTAATAGCGATTGGCATTATATGAAATTCAAATAAGCAAGCATGAACAGTTGCATATCAAGTTAGCCCTCTGCCCAATACTATTAGTTAGATAAAAATTAAGAAGATTAATGATTAGCGTAGAAACTTATCTACTATAAGATGTATGCATTTGAATTCACATTGATAGTTTTATTGGAATTCACAATAAATATTTCTTATTTTTTCTTACTTCCATAATTTTGTATATATGATGTTCGATAACCTGGATTCCAAAGTGTTTCTTGACTAACTCCAACAAATTCTTTTACTTCAAATTCTTTATCTGTTGCAATAACATTAGGAAATTCAAGTGCTCCTTGTATTTCATCACGTTTATTTGTAAAAATCAGAACAGGTACTCGTGATAATTCTGAACGAACAGCACGAATAACATCAATTGCTGTTTTATCATTTTGAATTGTCCATAAAGTAACAACTTTAAGTCTGATATGTGGTTTTTGAATTAATTTTTGATTAGTTTTAAGCCATTGTTGAGCTTCTTCTATTGTGTGAACAACAATCACTTTATGATCACAATCTGTGTGTGTTAATAATTTAGGATTATTTAGTAAATTTTGAATGTCTTTAACAAGATTTTCAACACTTTCATTTTTTTTATCACCTATTATCCATAATATATGAAAACTGTTACGAATGAAAGCCGATGGAGTAAGTTGTTGACTCAAATAAGTTACTGTTGGTAGAGGTAGAAATTTTGTTAAATCAAATGGATATATATCTTCAACCCGAACTTCAATTCCACTCATTTCTCTTGTTGGCCATGGATTTGCTAATGATAATTGTGCAACAGCGTGTGGTGCTATACAATTTGATGCAAATCGTAATTCATCATCTGTGATAGGTTTTGATTTATGTGGCCATTTAGGATTTGCTTCAAGATTTTTTCGAGTTTCTTCTAATTTTCTAATTAATTTTTTTGTATATTTTTGATAACAATGGGTCAAATGAGCATATGAATATGATGCTTCAACAGATGCATCGATAGGATTAATTAAAACACGTAATGAACGACCTTGTTGTTCACGTGCACGAAGACGAGCCATAAAACCTTCATAATCAAGAAAATCCAAAAAACGTAATGGTCTACGTATATTTATTGAATTATTTAATGTACATGAACGAAGAATATTACGTGCTAATGCTATAGCACCTTTCATTCCNTCATTTGTATGTGAACCAGAGATGGACAAAATCGCACCGCGCCTCCCTGCGCTTCCCCGCGCCGCTGCTCACGCCTACGCTACACTAGTCTGAGTTTCGATGAGCGCATACTTAGAGCATTCCGGTATTCGGTGGAGTTTGAGAAACTGATTGGTAGAGCAAAGAGAAAGAGAGACGTGCGTAGCGCCTAGGCGTGAGCAGTGGCGCGGGGAAGCGCGGGGAGGCGCGGTGCGCTTGTGTCCATCTCTGGTTCACATACAAATGATAGACAGTAGTATCTTACAACTAAATAGAATATTCAACATTATCTCTCTCTTGTTTTTAACTATAAAGACTCTTATTGTCTCTTTCTAGTTCATCATATAACGTAGAAAAATATAATGTTAACATCTAGTTTAAATTATATCCGCGTCTCATAAAGAACTTATGAAGCCGATGTTCTTTTACTAATTTTAGTTACTCTGTAAAAAAATTATAATTCTGTTATTATTTAAGTGGATAAATCATTGTCTCGCCTTTCTGTTTACATAAATATTTCACTTTATAATTAATATATATTCAATAATACATGTCTTCTTTTTACAAAGATAAAGATTTTTTGAACTGTAGTGTCGACGTATTTCCATCCATGACGGACAAGGCCGTACCAATTATAACTCTGCTTTGTACAATATCATTTGAAATTAAGTACTTCGACACGACTGACGATATATATATATATGTTCAGTTCGATAAAAATATTCCAATCACAATTTTTAGTTCAATAGCATAGAAATAAACAATACATTATCATCTTAAAATAAGTATCGAAACAAAATCTTGGTGAAACTTTTTTTTGCAATTTTACGTTAAAAAAAATCCAATTTAAAACTCTTTGAATACATCAGATTGTAAAACGTTTCATGATGATAAAATAGCAGAAAAAGAAAAAAGAAAGGATCCCATTGTCTCAACATTTGTTATAATTCACTCCAACTTGTTTTTATATAAATGTTTCTAGCTGAGCGATTTGGCCGGAACAAAAAAAAAAAAAAATAATAATAATAAATATAGAGGACAGAAGAGAAAAAAAAAGAAAACCAACAAAAAATCTTTTAGCACAAATGCTCAAGCGGTAACAAAAAGAAAAGAGCGACACACATGTATAATAAACTTGCTTATTGCAAAAAAAAGAAGAAAAGAAAGAATTCAAATTCTATATATTTTCTTATAAGCGATCGGAATGTTTTAATAGTAAAAAAGAAAAAAACTAATCATTAGATTTTTTTTTTGTTTTGTTCAAAAGTGAGATCATTTCTATTTACATATATGTAAGATGAAGTAATCACTGTAAACCACACATATTTAATTTTCAAAAGATAAGAAAGAAAAAAAGAAGGAGAAAAAGTATTGCCAGAAAAAAGAAAAATAAATTACAAAGGAGAAGAAAAAAAAAAGAACTTTATCGTCGTGTTATCGGTGTTTGTGTATTATTATTCGGTGTTAGAAAAGGAAAATTTCGAGTCGTTTGACGTGATTTTTGACTACTTGTGTGCATATTTGAAGGTGGATTATTTATAACATTTGAGGGACCATCTCGTCGTTCATTTTGGACATTTGATGACTTTGTAATCTCATCATTTTGGTTAACTAAAACAAAATGTGAAGAAAATTTTCAATAAAAAAAAAAAAAAAAAAAAGAAATTTTTGTTTTTTTATTAATCGTGTTTCTCCTTTCCTTCCCAAATGGCAAGAGCAATAGGTTAGTGAAAATTAAATGTCAATATTTTCATTTAGTTTTGTTTCATTTCCTTTTGTTTTTTAATATCATTCTTTTTTTTTTCCCCACCTTTAAATCCATGAAAGTATAACGACGAACTGAAATATTTGATTTTATTCTTAAATATCATCGCCTTTGTTTAGTTATTTTACCTAATGTTTTCGTAGCTAATGATGTAAATGATTTAGCAAGAAATTCTTCATATGTTGTTTCCTTTTTATGTGTACGAATTATTGAATTTATTATACGATAACGTTCTTCATAACTAAAACAAACAAAAAAAAAACACAGATTAATTTTAAATAATAATCCTATTAAATTGTATAATTAGACAAAAACAAAAATAAATATAATCTTACAATTCACAATGATTATTAAGTGTTGTACGACGTGCACGACTAGCATTAACAGCTGTTGCACGTACTAATTCTGGAAGAATAAGTTTATCAACAATTGCACCATCAAATAATGGACCGAAATTTGTTGTCTAAAAGATATATCAGATATATATATTATTCATAATAGTAAATGATAATTCAAAAGAAAAAAAACTGATGTGTGTTTTGATAGTCATTAATAAAGTTTCTAAATATTAGTTTTATCGAAAGATAATCCTACGATTGATGATCATCGAAAAGTTTTTATTTAATAATAAAACAAATGCTTTAACGTAGTTTTCATAATATTTCAAGTCAATTTTTGTCTATTTAGAAATCACTAAAAACAATCAACAGTGATCGACTAGTATTATGGTTTGATGCTATTTCTAAAAGTATACTCGAAAATTTTCTTTTTTACTGACGTACGGTTAGTTTTAGCTCGAAATAAATATTAAAATAAATCAAAAAAGTTTTCACTAACGAGGTAATTATCATTAGTGGTACTGTAGATTTTAGATTAGACAATACTTATTAGGTAAGATCTATTGAGACTAGAAAGATTCTTCTATATGCGCTGACTTTCTAGAGTTACAGTTATTTCACTAGATATTTATCTATGGTACAGTGCTAATGAAAAAAATCGAACAAACTATTCATATACGGCTTTTGAGTTCATTCGCATAAAAAATGACAGATAATTAATTGTCTTTTGAAGATTAAATCTTTCAATAATTTGTTCTTTTTGACTGAAGTTTTCAAGATATTCTAATAGTATCAAGAACTATTTATTGGTATAGTTTCAAGTTAGAATTCGTTTGTTCGATTTTTTGTTTTATAAGTGTTGCATCAAGCTTAAAAAATATAGTGAAACGGCCATAACTCCAACGCATGTTATTAAAAACAAATATTTATTAATATAATTTAATTTACTTGGCTAGTTTTATCAATTTTAATTCTATATAAACCATTTGGTAATGGATGTATAACAATTAAAACATCTCCAAAAGCACTAGCAATAATTGATCGATCATATTCATGACAATGTTCTGTCCAAATAATTTGTACTTCATCATTTCCAATATGACGTGTTTTCTTCCTTAGACGATCTTCATCTGTTGAACCATCAATCATTGTTGCAACATGAAACATAATTTCAACAAGTGCATTAGCATAATATATTGAATATGTATTTGCTAATGGATGTAAACCACCTCGAAAACCAGTATGTTTTGATAATTCAACTTGCCAACCGAGATGTGTTAGAAATTCTTCATAATTGGTACTACCATGTGTATTATTAAATATACTTGTTTTATCTTCTTGTCCATAACCAATATAAATAACCGCTAAAATTAGTAAAAAAATGAAGATTTGAAGGACGATGTTGTTAATGATATCTGGTTTTTTTTTTTGTCTTACCAATTTTATGTGTTTCACGACAATTAAGTGTATCTAAATTTTTTAATTCACGTAATAATTGATCACAATTTGTTTTTGATGTATTTAATAAATCAATATTTTGTCGATTTTCAAACATCATTAAACCAAGTTGTGTTATATGTGATCGACATAATGCAAATCGATCATAACGTGATGGTTGAATGATTTGTTCAGTAAATTGTTCAGTTTTTCCAAATGAAGATGAATCTAAATAAAAATATAAAAACCAAAAGAAATAATAAAACTTTTTTTGATGTTTTTTTTTTTTTCTTTTTACCATAATTTTTTTCTGCTGTTTCTTGTTCATTAATCATTTGTATAATAGCTTTTTCATCATGAGAAGAAATTGCTTGTGGTGTTGGAGAAACATCTGTTAATGTTCGATCACTATAAAATGCTAATTCTGGACTATGAGATGTTATATATTGAAGAAGCTATAAAGAAAAGAAAAAAAAAGATTTTAAAAATAGAATTTCGACTTTGTTGTCAACTATACTCGTGAATAAAAATATATAAGCTCTTATTAAACTATGAACGAAGAATACATCTGCCTTTCGATGATCTTACAGTATAAAGTACTGTTTAATGGTTGACTCAATAGTTCGATATATTCCCTACAGGTAATACTAGCTGTAACTCTGGACATAAGGTTAGAATGGTGTAGAGTTCTTGCGCTCAATTGCTGAGGCTCTCCGTTTACACTCTCACTAACCACATACAAGCGGCAAGAGTATATGTATGTCATAACGTAGTTAGTATGATCTTGGATGGGTGATCCAAGATCAATTGTTGTTAATGATTTGCACACAGTACGTTGTGGATACGTGTCGAACAACATAACTACTCAGTCATGATGGTTATATTAGGAGTGATTAACGAGGAAACCACGCGAATTGATACTTGCCTTTTAAGTTCATATTCGATCTACAAGAAAAATTCTGCTAAGACTACTAAAACGAAAAGACTAAAATAATTCGTTGGCATGAACCTTTGAAGCTAAGTTAGGATCGTTTTACTGAATTTTCGACCCATTTTTAGGTATTTACTGAAAAATGAAGTAACGTAATTTCCGTGTGAAATATTGCTCAAAAATAAATCTAATGATGTATAGAATATCTTGAAAGTTTCAGCCGAAAAGGATGTTCCCACGTCAAAATATTGAATGACTCGGTTTTTGTATCATGCCTATGGCAAACGAATATTCTTTTTTTTTTCGGTATGTATCCAAGCTGAATCGAAAATTCAGTAAAATGGCCTTACCTGAGATCCAAATGCGGACGAAACTTTTTTCGGGATTTTTCTAGTCTTATCGAGAGTTCCTTGTGGATCCAATGTAAATTCAAACAGCGTGTATTAGTTCGAATGATATTCTCGCGAAATGAAGAAATGAGTACAAGATCTTAAGAATTCAATATAC